GACGACAGCTTACAGTCCTGCGTAAAGATGAAAGTGACTTCGCACAGCCCTGATTTGCAGACGCTGTGTGCAGAGATTCAGGAGCAGAAGTTCCATTGTAAACATATCACGGCAGACCCAACAATGTTTTCATCAGCATGCTTTTCGGCCTATCTCTTTATTGACCACTTTTCACACATGCATACAGCTGGCTGTAGCTTTTCAGCTCACAGCCCAACAACAACGGCAAAGAGAGCACAGACTTTAAGCTGGTGAGACGTGATTACAGATGCCACTCAGGTGTGTCCGCCTCCCATGCAGCAGCACTGCAGACCACGCCCCGCCACATACATTAACCAGGTAAAATAAATATTTATGCAGAATTTTGCAAATATTTATTTTTCATTTGTTTTAATAGCATAGTGCTATTTCCAATTATTTTTTTTCTAATTCAGGTCAAGGCTCCGCTACGCTCAAAAAGCCCAAAGGTGATATAAGAGTGGCGGCTCCCAACAGTTTTTCTTTGCGACATCACATTTCATTACATAAATAAAATGTCCACGTCGTGGATTTCATAAGCAACACACTTTAGTTGTTCACAGAAAGCATAAAGGTAAAAAACAATATATACAGTGTATATTTTAGATGTCAAAAACTTTTTTGACTATTTGGCTCCCAGTGTTTTCTTTTGCGTAGAAACTGGGGCCACCGTACAAATGGCTCTTTGGGTGTTAAAGGTTGCTGACCCCTGCTATAAATGAACCAAACTTCAGTCAGGAGAACAACTGAGATAATCCATCCAGAATAGGAGGTTAGTCATTAATATACTGCAACAACATGGGAAGAGAGCAGCTGCGAGAGAGTTCGGTATTAATGAACCCATGGAACAGAAGTGAAGGAAGCAAGAAGAATGAGTTGAATAAAGTTATTATCTGTTTTGTTTCGCTTAATGCGCCTTATCATCAGGTGTGCCTTATGGTTCGAAAGTACAGTAGTTAAAAAACTAAAGAAAAAAAATGAACATATTAACATTTCCTGATGCTGCTGAAGTGTATGCTGCTCGCTATGATGTAGGAGTCAGGGATCAGACCTGTGGTGTTCATACCTGTGTTTTCACCACTGGAGGGCACTGCTGATCGTTGATCTATGGGAACAGTGACCACTCAGTGCTGTTTTAATAGTTCTTTGGTCATGTGACCATTTGTTCTTCAGACCCACATCAGCAGGTTCTCACTGAAAGCAAGTTGAGGTCTGCAAAACCACAAAGTTAACAATTAAAAAAAACAAAAGAAGTGCAACTCACAATTAAAAAACGTGCCATTTCAGAGTTAGCACTCTAAAAACACCAGCACCACAAACAACATCACTAAAAATAGATGAGTTTCTTCATGCATAGTAAATGTAGGCCTTAATAAGTTCCACCATAAAAACTTGTGTCCACCAAAAATGCTAAATAATATGAAAAATAAAAACAAAATGTGTCACAGAAATCAAACCCACATCAGAGTGAGATAATTTTCTTTCTTTTTTCATTTTATTTGGAATGATTGGACTTTTTATCAGCCTGGCTGCAGTGCTGAAGAGGAACCTAGGAAGCCAACTGAGTCTATTAACAAAGTATTCTATGTTGAAGATGTCATTCTTAGCATCTGCATGGATGTTAAAATCATCCACAATAATTAATTAATCTGAGCTGAGCACTAAACATGTAGTCCTGCATTTGTCCTTTATTTGCCATAGTACATATGATATTTATAAAAACCTATTTAGAGTGAGTTTCATGTTAATTTGTCATTCTCTATTTATTTATTTACTCCCCATCAGGGAGTGTACGGTCCATCAAGCCCGCAGACCAGAGCAGGACTGGAATTTGTCAATTAATTAACTGATGGCATTCATTTCAATTCTCTTTTTAAAAGCAATCTGTGTCCTGTTGGTGCCAGTGTGGATTGCTGGTCAGAAGGATTTCCGGTGCCAGTAATCAAAGAGACAATGTCCCGAGATAGATTCATTTCAATTATGCAACACCTTTGATTTGATGTCAAGGACACGTGGGCAGAACGGGTGAAAACAGACACATTTGTGGCGACCTCCGACTTCTGGACACACTTCAACAAGAACTGTGCTAAGAGTTTCACTCCAGGAGAACACATGACCATAGATGAACAACTGTTCCCTACCAAGGTTTGTTGTCCATTCACACAGTATATTGCAACCAATCCAGACAAATTTGGGATCAAGTTCTGGATGGCCACGGACTTGGACACCAAATATGTCTCCAATGCATCTTCCTTGGGAAAGGACCCCTTGGGGTGAGAGGCTGGCAGAGAAGGTGGTCATGAAACTGATGGAGCTGTTTTTGACGTTCTGAATCTCTCCTGGTTGGGGGTTGGGGAAGGGTGTGTTTGCATCACAAAAGTAGGAGAACGATGGAGCTGAGGGCCTCTCAGCGGGGTGCTAGGAGGTGTTAGGTTCAGGGGAATTTACGCAAATTTGCGCAGGCTTAGTAAATCTAGTAGTAGGGACTTGCACCAGGAAACAAAAGGCTCAATAATTCTAGTTTTATATGTCGTATGTAGCATCAGGGTCTTGTTTCACTCTGCTCTATACTACTGAGATCATCTTCTCCTGAAATTCTGGAAGCTGCCCACTCCTTACCCACCCACCACTTCTTTTTCACTCCTACTCTTCCAGTCCCAGAGAGCAGGTCGCTGACTGCCTGGTGACACTGGTCACATATTATTATGAAAGTCTGAGCTCTCTGTAGCTCACTCACTCTTTAAAAACAAGACATAATAGTTTGGTACATGTGTTTGTTTTTGCTG